TGGAGGGTTATTACCGTTGAGGATGTATTCATGAGTGAGTGATAACTTGCAATTTTCTTGTTTTTGGAACTGATTTCCAGGGCAAGACCAATGGTTTGATTGCTGATAACTTAGAGTTGTAGCCATTCCATTGCTGTTGCCATACGTTGGTAAGGATTTGTTTGTAAAACGATTTCAGGTCAGGGTGGGCTATTCTTTTTTCAATAAATGTGAGTGGGTTAGTAATAGCATCCTTTGCCAGCTGGTCGGCCCTTTCGTTGCCTGCTATACCAACATGTGATGGAACCCACAAAAAGTGGATATGTTTACGTTTTTCAATGATTGAGTGGAGCTTATGTTTGATGTGAAGTGTGATTGTGTGTTCTGGGTTTAGCTTCGTTATTGCCTCGAGTGTACTCAATGAGTCGGTTATGCCTGACGTTGAAATTGCAATTAAAATCTGTTTTTTCGTTAACCAGCTGTAGCTCCCCTACGAACAACAACTCTCTAAAGTCGAAACTTCTGCGAGCTAAGGACTAACGTGGTCTTGCCTTTTAACGTGTGATTCCTAGATGTCATAAACTTCATTCTATTCTGAATCTCATTCAACGAAACTAATAAAAAAGCATTCGTTTCAAACATTTTCTTATGAATTATTCGAAAAAACCATTCTACCAAAAACTTTCTTTTGTCCATTTCGACTATGGCATCAGATGATTTATAGACTAGATCCGATAATTTTGGATCCCTCAGAACAATTTGTATGACTCCTGAACAACTTTTTCGCGTTCCTCGGACGCTCGTTTGTCGGTGTCTCAATGTCGATCTGATAATTTTTGTCGTTTGGGAACCTGTTGCTAATTGGCAACATCATACGTTTCTATTTTGATTTTCATCTCGATTTATATTTGAATACTTGTGACGCAAAACGTACACGCTTTGTTTATTTTTGGACGTGCGTCCTATCAACTGTGTGGTATTCATTAATTTCTTGAACGTCATTCCTTCGAGCTAATGCTGATGCCAGTTATGAATAATCTATTTGGTCTCATTCCAGCTGCCCTTGCCAAAGTAATTTTCCGAATCTAATGAAATGTTTGAAAGGATTTCTCTGTTTCTGAGCCAAGGAAACATTATATAGGATTTATTTCTTGAAATATTTTGATGTACTCCTTTTGGCGCGATAGTAAAAAATGATGAGAGAAAACGTTTACGATGCGCGCGCACGCCCTCACGAGAAACCCACTCTGAAGTTAGCTTCTTCTTCGTTAATTTGTATGGTCGAGCGCATTTGGCCAGTTTCTTGCTGTCCATAGTAAACAAAAGCTTCGACCGGGGGCGCAGCTGTCTTGCTCTAGGCAATGCCGCCACCCTACGTTTTCTCATTCACTTTTTCTTTCATGAAAACACTTCCTAATTTTTTTACTATAGGGCCGCCAGTCCTCTCAATGTGACATTCATTAATAACATATCTACTATCGCACTGACGATCTCGTCGAATCCGTCGACATCCAGCCTGGTTGCTGGCGTAGGGGGCCACCAGTCCTCTCAAAATGTCTTTCACTTCAATAATCAGTCCGAATACGATGTATATATTATTAGAAAAATGATAATAACTAACTTTAAACTTGAACGTATATCGAACTATTATCAAAATCAATAAGATAATCGATGAGCGGGCGATCTACATCAGGCATCGGGAATGTTTGGCCGTCTGAAGTTCGCCAGAGTCCCTTGACTGACAGCGAATATATCATGGTGACTGATATTTATTAACAATTTATTTATTTAAGGATCATTTGCTGTGAATATAAGTGATAAAAGTTGCTTTTATATATTACTTTGAGTACGTTTGTAGAATCTGAGGTTAGTTAACGGTATATTATTCATTTACGTCATAAACAAAAATAAATTTTTACATTATTATTGAATATGTAATGAATGTACAAATGAATTGATAAATTAATAATACATACAAATAATAATTATCAAAGTTCGAAAAAATTCAATTATTGAAAATATTTAATTCAATTAAATGTTCCTTAAAGTAATCCTAAATTATTAAATAATAAAATTTATCATCAGGTTGTCCCATACACAGTACATCATGATGATAGTATCAAAATAAATTTTAATAAATATTTGGAATACGTGAATAAACGTAAACAAATAATCAAATAAATCACAGGGAGAAATAATTTAAAAAAAAACGAAGTATAACTTCTAACGTGCGCACATAAGTACACCCACACTCTTTTTTTACAATTCGTTTACTTTGCAAAACGTGAACTTGGTTATTATGCCTATGTTCGTGATATTATGACTCATTCAAATTGAAACTACAAACACTGTTTGTTTGAAAAATCTCGATTACTTTACAACTTGGTTTTATCGGTTGTTTATAACGTTGGTTTATATTATGGCATCGTTATACACTGTTAAATGTTTTTATCGCTTATGTTATAACCCTCATTACATAAAACTCTTCTGTTTATTAAGGATAATCCAAACAAAAATAGTTTTATTATACAGGGTATGTCAAAAGTTCCGAAACGATCAAATTTCTCCAATGTTTGCAAAACGATTTTTTTCAAATTTGGTATACAGTGTGTCTCACTTCTCATGGAAACACCCCCGTATCTTCCGTAATATTCTCTCTCAGGACTGATGTTCATGTTTTGATGTCAAAACCAAAAAAAAATCTATTTCAATTATTACGGAAGATACGGGGGTGTTTCCATGAGAAGTGAGACAAATTCGGATTTTTCAAGACTAAAATTTTTTCAGGAAAAAAGTGTATTCGTGGTAAGTTGGTAAGTCCTGATCACGAATCTGAAAGAATTTTGAGCCTATTTTGTCCCCTAATATGTTTTACCGTAAAAATGGGGTGTTCCATCGCGAGTGTATATCACTTTGGCCAACCCCCTTCAGGTGGTAGGTGCATTTTGAGCATTTCCATCAGTCCAGAGAGTTTCATCGTTCTACCTCGAATATTACGGAAGATACGGGGGTGTTTCCATGAGAAGTGAGACACACTGTATATACCTACTCTTTAAAATTTTTAATAATGGAGCACTGTGTTGTCGGTAATTTCAAACGTACTTCTTTATTGAGTAGATATTCAAACGGGTCTCATTGACTTAAAGAGATTTGATGGCATTTCTTGGCTAAACCGGACGTACTAAAAAAATTGGTATTATGATCAATATATTTCAGCCCGTTATTATTCATAACAAATTTAAAAAAATCGCTTTGTAGACCTGCAAACACCGAAATTATTCAAACGTTTAGGAACTTGTCGAGACTGGTGATAGGTCAATTATTATTCAGACGAACACAGCGTTTATCAACAATAAAAATTATTAACAACAAAACACAATGAGGATAACCTCGAGGAACTAACGCTAATTTTTTTCTCGATCAACGAGGAGACTCTAAAGGGGGATTAGTTCTCAGCGGAAAACCCAGAATAAGAAATAGTTCCCGGCCGAAATCCCAGAACAGACTGAATTGCCTCGGCTAAAAATTTGTTTTAAGTGACTCTCGAAACATCATCACTGACCATGGTCGGGGTCATAAATATAGTCAAGAAGGGTCAACCACTTGGGCCCGAATTCCTTGTCTTAATCCAGAAGAAGATGAGTAACCTACTCGAAACATCCCAAGTGGTGTCATTGTAAATATTCATTTGTTTTCGGCAATAAACTTTCGTTTCGAGAGAAGAGAGCATTTTAATGATATGCAATGAGAAAATACGAAAATGATAAATAAAAATCAAAATAAACGGATCAACATAAAAATCCTCGATAATAGAGTTATGAAAAGTTGATTTCCTAACAAAAATTTATAATAATAAAAATCAATAGAGATATGAAATGTTTCTAAACTAAGTATGTAGTTGTAGGAAGAACCCTACAAACTTTTTTCGTTTATACGAATGAACTTTTTAGATACACTTAGATATATTGTCTCATTTCCTAAATAATTCAAGAAATATTTTCAGTAAACACATGGACACACATTGGATGTCCAGTGGATATCCGTAATAAACTTTACGGGTATTCATTGGACGTATTTTGATGGACAAGGGACTTCCAATAGATATCCATAGGATATTCATTTGATATCCATATTTTAATCCCGTTGGAGTTAATTTCGACATGAATTGTACAATAAATGGACTGAAGTTCAAATAAATTTGGACTGGTATGTTTATGAACATTTTTTGACGTCACTTGAATCTTTTCATACAATAAAAAAACTGGAGGTCTGTATTCGAAAAAAATTAAGTTGATGATGAAATGTTATGAAAAAACGTCACATTGAAAATTGTTTTATATCAGATTATAACAAATATGAAACAGTATTGACAGTTCCTCTGCCTTTTTTTATATCATTCGAAATGGAGGCGATAAAGCCAAAAAACGAAATTCTACAATTCTAGTTTTTGGCGAGTATTTCGAAAACAACCGCTGATGTGTTCGATCTGAAAAGAGATTATTCTAGTTCCCAAATCAGAAAACTTATCTGATTCAACTGTTTCTGAGATTAGAAAGCCAAAAAGATTTGTTTACAAAAAACTTATCTCTCCTGGAAGCAGAGAGGTTTCTGGAAAATGTTGTTTTTCTGGTAAGCAAACTTGATGTACTGTTCAAATTTTTGACACTCTACGAATTGATCTTTGCTTGTATGGTTTGGGAAGGTCAACATCTTCCTCCATATCCTTTATAGTCACTATTTCCTGGGAGATCGAACATTTTTAATGAGAGAAAAATTTGGACTAAAGTAAGGATTTTGAAGATTTTTCATTTTTGTACTACTTCAATTACCTACAATTATTTTGTAACCCCAAAATCTGTATGTATTGAATGTTTCGTGGATTTCGTAGATGTCGTTTTGGGCTTGTGTTTCTTGGCATCCTGAGTCAAGTAAATGAATAAAAATAAAATGATAATTTCACATTTTTTGTGTTTTCAACCTTCACCATGAAACATCAACTTCCAGTATATTTTGATTTTCAGAGCGGTAGCGGCCTACCTCCGAGCCCTCAACCTCTCCCCCAACAATGCCGTCGTTCACGGGAACCTCGCCTGCGTCTACTACGAGCAGGGCCTCATCGACCTGGCCATCGATACCTACCGAAGAGCCATCGATCTCCAACCCAACTTTCCCGACGCCTACTGCAACCTGGCGAACGCGCTCAAAGAGAAGGGACAAGTTTCCGAGGCCGAAGATTGCTACAACACGGCGCTACGGCTCTGCCCAACGCACGCCGATTCCCTCAACAATCTGGCGAACATCAAGCGCGAGCAAGGTTACATCGAAGAGGCCACCAGGTTGTACCTCAAGGCTTTGGAGGTGTTCCCGGAATTCGCGGCCGCGCATAGTAATCTGGCGTCGGTGCTGCAGCAGCAGGGCAAACTCAACGAGGCTCTGATGCACTACAAAGAGGCCATCAGGATCCAGCCGACTTTCGCTGATGCCTACTCTAATATGGGTAAGGATTTTAGAACCTATCATTTATTGAAAACAATTTGTAGTTCGTACAACCTAATCACAGAATAGACATCTTGTATACTTACTATTTATTAGGTCTACCAATATACTTTTCTAGCTTGGCCTCTGAGAAAAAGTTACTGTGCAATAGAGACAGCGCAGAAATTCTTGAATGCTACGATCCCTTGAGGCCAACCTAGAATATTATATCTCTTATCCCGAACTACCATATGTTTCATTTCCTAATGAGGCAAACATCATCAGTTGTTGTGCGTTGACTGCGGGGACGAAAGTTATATCTGGAAGTCTCAGCAACAAGTGACAGACGAGCTACGGTGTTCACTCATATTTATAATTTCAGAGAGTGATGGATAGAAAGGCACTGGACAGTGGTGGGGGCGGGGTTTCCGTGCAAATACTCACTCCGATTGGTTCGCACTGTTGCGGGTCTTTCCGATTGGTCCGCATTGTTACAATGGACACCCTTGTAACTCCTTATTGGTCCGTTCTTTTTCTGGATCATTCTTAGTGAGCATTTGCATGGACGGACATCCCGTCATCGACCCCCCTATAGTATCTACTGCCTTCTCCACCACCGTTCATTACCTATCATGTATATTTATGAAATACTGTTCTAGATCAGAGGTTCTCACACTTATTTTGTCTACTGCCTACTTCGAGAATTAATTATTTTCTCGCGCCCCCCCAATTTTTGTTACTTTACCACATCTTAAGAATAACAATCACAGTCATTATTTTAATAATTAAATTATGTGTGTCATGTGAAAATAAGACTCTGATGAAGGTAATGTAAAATACCATTTTGTAATATTAGGAAAACTTTTACTCATGTTATGAAAACAAACATTTCAATTTGAATTTTAAAACTAATCTAATGTGAAGGATGGATTTGATGATTTTTAAAAAGTTTGTTAATATCAGGCTCGAGTAAATACTCAAAAACAGCCGTAAGTCACCGAGTTCGGTAATCTGCAACCGATTTCTTTTTTTAGTTAGCAACGTTGCCACAGCACTAAATCCACGTTCACACAAATACGATGGTGGGAATGCTATCAAAAATCGTTGAACGATGGGCCACAATCCAGGGTACAATTGCGGGCTTGTCTTTTGTAGCCAAAATTCTTGGTATCCATTTTTTAATTTTATTTTTATTTCCTCGTTCGTTATCAGTTCTATCAGTTCCTCTTCCAGCTGGGATGATCCTGCTGTGTTGACATTTGAAAAAAGATCCAACACCCAGTCCGGTATTTCCAATTTTAAAATATCCTGGAATCGTTCTGCGAAATCACTGTGGAGGTTATCCAAATGTTGGCAGTAAACAAGCAAGTCGTCGTTGTTGAAGGATACTGCTGACAGATTGGGGAAATTGTGAAACTCACGTCTGCCGATATTATTCTTTTATAATATAAGAGCAATTTGGCTACAAAAGCAGCAATTACATTTTTTGTTTTAATCAAATTCAAGTCGTCACCTTGAAGTTGGAGATTGACATCATTAAACAATTTATACAGGTCTGTCAAGTACGCAATATCATTCTTTGAAGTGATGAGGTTGTCGTGCAATAATTCTTTGTCTTCGTTTTCCAAGAACTCTATTACAGAGTCAAATAGATTATAAAATCGAGTCAGACAGTTACCTCTTGATAACCAACGCACTTGTGTGTGAAATAGCAATCGGTTGAAATCTTCATCATTAGCAACACAAAGCTGATTAAATAATCTGGCGCCGGAGCGCCATCCGTAGCAGCTGATATAATATTCTTCAGTGAAATTTCTTTCTCATCACAAAATTTTTCCACAAAATTTTATATATGGTTTCTCCTTTTGTATCCGTCTCTAAATTTCTGGCAAATAGTAGGTCTTGATATATTTTCTCATTTTTAATAAACCTCACGTATGACAACGACAATGCTTCATTGGTTGGTAAAGTGGACTCATCTAACTGAATTGAGAATTTAGAAGTCTTTAGATGATTGCACAATGACTCTTCAACGTTTTCAGCCATCTCATCATTTCGTCTTGCACGGAACTATTGCTCAAAGAAATTTTCTATTTTGTATTTCTATTCCAGTTCTTGAAAATAAGTCACACTTTTGTCGTTTTTATCTGAATGCATTTTATTCAAATGATCTTGTAGCCTTGAAGGTTTCATCGCTCCACTCGAAAATGTTTTTTGACAAAGAAGGCACATAGGCGAAGATGGATTTGTGGGATTTTCAATGAATCCATATTTTATATATTCCGCGCTATAGTGCCCTTTCTTCTTTTTTGCTTCCGACATAATTTTGTCTTCAAAAATGCCGAAGTAAAGAATCGAGTATTAAAAACTTGCTAATGACACCACTCACAGTATTGACCACCGCACGTACAGCACTTTACCTAGCTGGTCGCTAATTAAATTCACTTGTTTTGTTATATTGTCGAATGACATTACTGGCTGGATGGCGCGCGCGCTTTTATATGAGGCAGTGGGCGGACCTAGTACTTTCGAGAATGGAGACTAGAAACTTCTCGCTTCGCATTGAAGCTCACCGCCATCTATTTGTACAGTTTGACAACTACCGTATAGGAAATAGTTATTGTCTAGTCCTCTAGATGTCGTTACACGAGGAAACGCGCGTTAAGCCTAAAGGAGCAGTAAAGGCCTATAATAGGCCTCCAGCGCTCACAAGGGGGCGTTATCGCCCACTTTGAGAAAGACTATTTTAGATTCACCAAAATATCAAGAATTTCCGAAACACTACAACACTTATTATTATTCTACAATCTGCAGAATTCTTCTTTTTTCCTAGGTACAGGGTAGCAGTTTCCCAAAAAATTATTTGAGTTTAATTTGTACAATCGTGAAGATTATTTTGATGCAGCTGGGCTATAAGAGATGGATGTTGAACTGGTTGCATACAATCTAACTGGTATCATGATAACTGTTAGACTAACAACTGACAAATTCTGAGATGAGAAATACTATACTTTGTTTCAGGAAATACTCTTAAAGAAATGCAAGATGTCTCCGGAGCCCTACAGTGTTACACACGAGCGATTCAAATAAACCCAGCCTTCGCCGACGCCCACAGCAACCTGGCGAGCATCCACAAAGATTCCGGGAACATTCCAGAAGCCATCCAGTCGTACAGGACAGCTCTGAAACTGAAACCGGATTTCCCGGATGCGTATTGCAACCTAGCGCATTGCTTGCAGATTGTTTGTGACTGGACTGACTATGATTCCAGGATGAGGAAGTTGGTGAGCATCGTCGCCGATCAGCTGGACAAGAACCGACTTCCGTCGGTCCATCCTCATCATTCTATGTTGTACCCGTTGTCTCACGAGTTCCGCAAAGCGATCGCAGCCCGTCACGCCAACTTGTGTTTGGAGAAGATCAACGTCCTCCACAAAGCGCCCTACAAGTTTCCCACGGAACTGAGAGGTAGGCTGAGGATCGGGTACGTCAGCAGCGACTTCGGTAATCATCCCACGTCGCACTTGATGCAATCGGTTCCCGGCATGCATGACAAAACCAAGGTCGAGGTGTTCTGCTATGCCTTGAGTCAAGACGACGGCACCACTTTCCGGAGCAAGATTTCCAGAGAGGCGGAGCACTTCATCGACTTATCAAACATCCCTTGCAACGGCAAAGCCGCCGATCGCATTTACTCGGACAACATTCACATCTTGGTGAACATGAACGGATACACGAAAGGTGCTAGGAACGAAATTTTCGCGTTGAGGCCTGCTCCAGTTCAGGTCATGTGGTTGGGTTATCCCGGCACTAGCGGCGCCATTTTCATGGACTATTTGATTACGGACGCAATTACTTCTCCGATCGAAGTTGCTAACCAGTACAGCGAGAAGCTGGCGTACATGCCGTACACGTACTTTATCGGCGACCACAAGCAGATGTTTCCCCATCTTAGGGAGAGGTTGATTGTGAGTGATAGGAATGGTCAAAATTTGGCCGACAACGTAGCCATAATAAATGCGACGGATCTGTCTCCTTTGGTGGAGTCGGCGGACATTAAGGAGATTAAAGAGATTGTGAAGGCGGCTAAGCCGGTGGAAATCAGCCTCAAGGTAATTGACCTTTTATTTTTTTTATTTTTCCCAGTGATGTGTGCCAAAACGCGCAATAACGAATGGCAACAGTTTTTCAACACAGTCCAGAAAATTTTGTGGTTAGTTACTAATATGGTTTTTAACATTACCGAATTTCTTTATTCATGATGTTATCGACATTATTTATATTTGAAATATAATGATACTCATTTCATATTAATTCAATGAGATGAGCCACTATCAGAAAGGGTGTATTTCAGTTCGCTTCTTTTGTGCATCTTACATAATTGTATATTTTTTGTCTTTGTCTACTGCAAATAAGTATGTGTTTATATAAATCACGGGATGTTTCAACACTTTGTAAATTGACGTACTACCCATGTATATTGTGCATATCGTAGTCAATAAAGCATTTCTTTCTTTCTTTCTTACTATTGCCATTAACCGTTTCTTTCAAAAAAACGTTAAAGGTATAACTGTATCACTGCTGGGATAATATGGAGGGGGGGGGTTCATGAATGCTGTCACTGTGGATTCGGAATAGACAAATGTTTCATCTCAAAAGATGACGTTGCAGGGATTACGGGGAGCATCCTACACCATCTGGATTTTGGAGTTCACTTATTTCAGAGTGTATAAACGCCACTCATGAAAAAGCTTCTTTGCTGAAGGTATCAACACAAACTATCACAGATCTGCTAATCAGAACTGTCGAAGAAGAACAATTTTGGGCTACTCATTGAAAAAAGTCAAGTGAACTCGGTAAACCCTTTCAGATTGTTGTTAAGATCCAAAAAATGATGCATCTTCATAGTTTGCATCCCAAATCGTCCTTTCCACCATTATACATCTCTTGATAAATACTAGGGAGGCCGTGTACTTTTGATTTTGAAGTGTCAACATAACAGAATGGTACTAGATGGAGCCTGAGTTCGAATCCCTTTCCCTGCATGTTCAACGACTATGAGAGAGCAGGAATTGGAGTAGTTCTTTTCTTTGCAGCTGCCGAAATGATTGATTAACTTGTTTTTGTTTTGACACGAGGTTACAACAACTCTTTCACCAAGTTAAAATCTGCTCAGTAAAAAAGCCCACATCGAAGCCACATAGTTCACTTTACTCCGGAGGGCTCACAAGGATCACCCAAATAATGGGGTCTTGGAGATTCCACCTCATCAAAGAATCTGATTTTCGCTTTTCTCATGACCTGCTAGGATGGTGTCTTCTTACTCGACTGTAATCGTATAATGGGTATAGACGTTCTTTACCAGGTGCAGAACCTGTTGCGAGGCGCCTGAGAATCCATCGACACAACGAGGCCCTAATTATGCTCGTCTTCCACTCCCCTACGGTATTGTCGAGACATCGATGTTACCTTGAGCTCCAAAGTATATTGAATCAATTGTTGCTGAATTCATTGGAACTATTCATTTTTCACCATGGACTGATACGAGCTCATAAGCCCGATGTAGTCTTCTCCATGACCATCAAAATGAGATGATATCCGTCTTGTAGTTTTAAGCTCCGGGCAAGCGAATATCTTCCGAAAAATCAAGGAGAATCGGATAAAATATCCAGATTTTCTCTTTAAAAGTCTATAGACTACCCAGACCACTTTATTAAAATGGTTGTTCTGATTGATAGTGTACCTGGTGAAATGGTACTTTTCATAATGTCGAATCCCAAGATCAACACGACTTGCCGCAATGCGAAAGAAGTTTTGGCCGAAAAAATAGCCGAGACCATTTTTGCCTCCTTGCGTTTACTTAGAGCAAATGATTTCCGGATCCACCGATCACTTGCCGCACGCTATGGGAAGTGGTAGGCGGCCCGTCCTCCCTTTATAAAAGAGGCTTTAGGAACAGAGCCCCACCGGCAAAACTCCATTTTGTTAAAAATGATAATGATTAATTAGGTCATCGCAGTGCATATATGAAATGTTATTGCATTCTCATTTGTTTTTTCAGGTCGCTGAATTGCCCACAACTATGCCAATCGAAAATATGATTGCTTCGGGCCAAGTTCAGACTTCTCTCAACGGCGTAGTCGTTCAGAACGGACTCGCGACGACTCAAACCAACAACAAAGCCGCCACCGGCGAAGAAGTCCCCCAGAACATCGTCGTCACCACGAGACAGCAGTACGGCCTGCCTGACGACGCAGTCGTCTACTGCAACTTCAACCAACTGTACAAAATAGACCCGATGACGCTGCACATGTGGGTGAATATCCTGAAGGCGGTGCCGAACGCGGTGCTGTGGCTGCTTCGTTTCCCCGCCGTCGGCGAACCGAACCTGCTGGCGACCGCGCAACATCTCGGCCTTCCCGCCGACAAGATCATCTTCAGCAACGTTGCCGCCAAGGAGGAGCATGTCCGCAGGGGGCAGCTCGCTGATGTTTGTTTGGACACGCCGTTGTGCAACGGACACACGACCAGTATGGACGTGTTATGGACGGGCACGCCGGTTGTTACATTGCCCGGAGAGACGCTGGCTTCCAGGGTGGCTGCGAGTCAGCTAAATACGTTGGGGTGCCCAGAGCTGATCGCCAGGTCGAGGCAGGAGTACCAGGACATCGCCATCAAACTGGGGACGGATAAAGAATAGTGAGTATTTTGTTGGTCGAGCTAGGTTTGTTTGATACTGTTGTTTTTGCTTGGTTCGTTAATGAGTGACTGAATAAAGCCCAGCTCATTGAGAGTTTAATTTCCAGGCTTAGTAGCCTGGGAATTGAACAGTTATGAACTTCAAACAGTGCCATTTGAAAATACAAATTTTCAGAAGTTAACATGGTTTTTTCAAGTCGTTACATTTTGCAATGCTACTTAAGGCCTCTAAAAATGACAGTTTCATATGTTTAGATTATAGAAACAATTGTTCACAGTACATTGATCGAGCATACATCTTCAAGCAATAAAACTCAGGTCAAGCAATGATCCCATTTCGCCGATAGTTTTTCAAACGAGTTGGCGTCACTTCTGAAAGTTATAGGTTATGTTTATTTAGAGTTAAAGTAGGAATATTGTTTCTTTGTTCGATATTCCAAAGCGTCGTTAAGGTTTTAATATCATTGTCATTGAATCTTTATATTGACAATGTCATCATTGAAAGGGTAACAACTTTTAAATATCTGGGAGTGGTATTAGATCAAGAATTGAACCTTAATGCGTACTGTAGTTATATTCAGAAGAAAATAGCCACGAAAATTCATCTTTCATATAGATTGAAAAATAAAATAAGTGAATATGCAAAATTAACAATTTATAAATCAATAAGAGCACCCCACTTTGACTATTGCAGTACGTTACTCTATTTTGTGAGCAATGAAAATCTAAGCAGACTACAGAAGCTTCAAAACAGCTCCATGAGGGCAATATCAAGTGGAATACATGTTGGAAACACTGTCTTTTATGTCTGCTAAACAATATGCTGATATTTATATTTAAAATTGAACACAATATGTTGCCAAATTATCTGAGTGATCAGTTAACCTACAATAGTAGTATTCATACACACTCCACTAGAAATAGAATAGGAAATTTTTATATCAACAGAGAACTCGTATAGTTCTGGTCTGATTGCATTTAATAATTTGCCAAGTCATATAAAAAGCTGTGATTCATTAAATTCATTCAAAAGAAAATGTAGTGAATGTATTTCAAGTAATTGTCATCAATAATTTGTCTTGTTTTCTAGTTTCTTGTTTTTAAAATGTGACTTGTCTCTAATTTTATATATTTTTTATTGTTTTGTATTTTATAAGTGACTGTACTATAAAGAGCATTATTTGCTAATAAAGAGTAATAATAATTATTTTATGGTGGAACTCTTAGGTTTTTACTGCAATTTCAACAACACATATGTGAAGTACGGGAATGGGTTGATAAATATTTAGAAGGTTGGTCATAATTAACAAGGATGGACCTTCATCCAAGGTCCTTAGATATTCTAGAAACAGCCATTTTGCGAAAGGACACATACAACATATTACTTTGGACATCCTCTTTCTTGAAGTAAAATCAAGAGAAACAGCAGGCTTTAGTACAATCAGCTTGTGAGCGCAATAGGTACCATTCACTGTTGCATGAAATTTCTCAATAGGTTTTTCAAGGGAAGGATGCGAAAAATGTTCATTTATTTATGGGATAAACCCCTCCATCACGGTAACGATATAATTATTACCACAAAAATAATATTCTTATTACAACCGAAAAATTATCACAGCAGTACATGGCAGAAGTTATACAAAACAAATTACTGTAATTTCGAAAATGGTCACCATTACACCCACTAAAATGGAAGTAGCAAGCTTTTACCTAATCATCCTAGCTGATATTATTCAGCGATTTTTCAAAAGCATTATGGAAGACACTAAATATAACATAGGTCTGACTGGAATCTTCTAGTTTCCAGTGGTTTGAGCCTGAGATGTTGTGAAATATAATAATAACAATTAACGTAATATAATGAAATTTGTTTTGATCCTACTCGATATCATATAAATGTTTTAGATACCAATGAATTGGGTTTTTCTGAAATATTCCGCATTATATGGGTACCCGATAAAAGCGTGGTGTATTGAAATTTTGAATGACATGTATTGCTTTCCAGATTTGGATTCCATCGGGAAAGCAATATACTTGATAAAATAGTATTATATATGGCTATATATACTGTCGTATATTTAATGTTGAAAAGTGGATCCATTCTCCGTCCCTGTTTTGTGAGAAAATTAATTTTAAAAGTATCTTTTGTTATGAAGATATTTTAAAGGTATATATTTTTTATTATCGAATAGTAGTTTGACCAACAACTTTTTTCTGAAACTGGGTAAATCAAATCTCGGAACAGTTTTTTAAAAATATTTCCTAATGGAACATATTTGTTTCACAATTAATTTTTTCATGCTTTTTATACTACAATTTAATTGACAAATATTGCAGTGGCTTAAGAGCTATCTTATGGAAAGAACACAAATTGTTAGAGTTGATCATTACTATTCTCATACCATCGCAGTTACATTGGGTGTTCCACGAGGTTCACATTTGGGAACACTGTTACTTAACCTTTTTTAACAACGATCTAATCAGCTGTTTCCATGGAAGGGAAGTTTTGCTATTTGCCGACGATTTAAAATATTTCAAAATAATTAAAAGTGTAGCTGATACATTGTGTCTACAAAACGGTATAGATTGCCTATCAAACGGGTGTTCGCAAAATGGTATGTGTTTGAATGCATCCAAATGCCAAATTCTTCGATTTCATCGAACACATTACCCAATCACTTTCGAATATAGTATAAATAATCGGACCTTACATTCTGCTATCGAAACCAAAGATCTAGGTGTGATCCTAGAGTCCACACTTAGCTGTAAATCACACATTTCCGCTGTAATTCAAAAATCAAAGAAGATGCTTGGCTTTATAAAGAGAACCACTCGTGATTTCACAAACATCACTGCTATTAAATCTCTTTATTTTTCCCTGGTTAGATCTCATCTCGATTATTGTTCCACAGTTTGGTCCCCTCATTACGTTACACAAAAAGTGAAACTCGAGGCCGTTCAGCACAATTTCCTGCGATATATTGCATTCAAGATGCGTGTATACTATGACTATACTGCATTGGAATGCATTTTGAACATACCTTCTCTTGAGGCTCGCAGAAAACATAGAGATTCAATACTTCTATTCAAAATTATCAACGGACTGAGTATCAGTCCCGAGCTTCTCTCTAAAATATCTTTACATGTCCCCAGTCGTTCAACTAAACAGGTGCAAACGTTCTACGTTTCTTTTCATAGATTTAATTATTCATATAACAGCTTTATTCCCAGAACTCTTCGATTGGCTAACTCTTTAAATAACCTTCAAATCTTTAATATATCAGTATACCACTTTAAAAACCATATTCTTCACTTAGCCATCTAATACTTTCTGCTTGTGTTGTATTGTGTGTGTGAGAATTATATATCATATTGTTTTACGTTTTAATTTTTTCTTAAATAACCTATTTGTTATCTTACTTCAGAATTGTATTATTGTTATAATTTACTTTGATCCACTGTATTGCTTCAAGTACTACATAGCACTGTACTACTTATATCTGAATTGGGATTGCCCGTGTATATATATAAATAAATATAAATAAAAGAAGATTTTGAATGAATATTCATTTTCATTATTGAAAAGCAATTTGACTGAGAATCTGGAGGATTCAATATTTAAAATAATCTTCACTTCATGTCTAAATTTTTTCAGTACTATCGATATCAAATAAACCTAGTTATCGATGTTATTTATATTGACCTTATGGGGATTTTCATAAAATTGGCTTTTCAAAAATATACCCATGTATATTGAAAAATATTTTTTTGAAACCTCAAGCATTTATATCTAAAACTTCTATAAGAAACGTTTTTTCATATCTTCACTCTTTCATCTCAAACTTCTAATGGAACTTCAATGTGACACAACACACTGTATTAGAATCATATTATATATGTATGGATTCACAATATTTTATTGTGTTTTTGTTTCAGCTTGAAAGCCATGAGACACAAGGTATGGACAGCTCGATCAAATTCGCCTCTATTCGATTGCAAAATATACGCACAAGGACTGGAGCTGCTGTACTTCAAGATGTGGGAACGTAACGCCGCTGGTCTCAAACCGGACCACATCACAGACACGACTGCAAAGAAGTAATCCGTCAATCACCCACTCGAAAGGATCTTTCTTGAATCTCCCTTGTCATTTGTGCTTCCTTCATTCTTGAGCAGATTGAATCAAAACGGGAAAAACAGTTCCAAGGGGTAGATTAGACTCGAGCAACATCCTGAAATGGAACAATTTTTTATGGTTGACAGTATTTAATATTTATACAAAATATTTTTAGCAACTCTAAGTTGTTCGGTTCTATTGATTTTTAATAGTGACTTGGACTGGCTTGTTATGTTATGATATGATGATACTTGTGTATATTTTTTTAGCTTAAGGAATGTACATGTGCAGAGTTTGGATGCGTTGCATTCACTATTATCTGATTATATAATTACCTTATTAGTAAGTTACAAATAAACCAACGGATGTTTATTTCTTCAGTTTGTCTTTTTCATTATCGCCCTAGGATCTCTCAAAAAATTGCTTCAAAAATGTCATTGAATTAATATTTAATTCGTAATGGTCCAAATTAGAGATGAAACGGATAGCAATTTAGCCAGATACCGGACATTCAGCCAACCTTGCAGCCAAATATTTGGTCGCCGAACGTTGCCATTTGCTGCATCGTAAGATGCACGCTTGCGTAATTCGAATATTTCCGTTGATAAGCGAAATTTGCAATTGTTTAATTCATTACCTTCTTACACTGATTGCAGTGCATTTATCTGTCACACCCTGCAGCAGTGTGTATAGCGAAATAATTTTTTTCCAAACATGGATAGCAGTCTAGCCAGATACCGGATATTCTTCCAAACTTATAGGTGGATGTTCGGCAGATTGCAGTGCATCTGTCTTTCATACCTTGCAGTAGTGTGTATAGCAAAATATTTTTTTCTGAAGCTGGATAGCAGTTTAGCCAGATACCGGAAATCCGGCCAACCATATAGCTGGATATTCGGCGGCCAAATATCCGGCAGAACGATGCCATTTGGTGCATCGATAGAAGCACGCTTGAGACGTTCTTTACCANGTATTGATTGTAGTAGGATCTTTCTTTCACACCTTGCAGCAGTGTGAATAGCAAAATAATTTTTTCTGAAGCTGGATAGCAGTCTAGCCAGATACCGGATATTCGGCCAACCTTGTAGCTGGATGTTCGACAGATTGCAGTGCATCTGTCTTTCGCACCTTGCAGTAATGTGTACAACAAAATATTTTTTTCTGAAGCTGGATAGCAGTTTAGCCAGATACCGGAAATTCGGCCAACCATATAGCTGGATATTCGGCGGCCAAATATCCGGCAGAACGATGCCATTTGGTGCATCGATAGAAGCACGCTTGCATAGGCGGCGGGCGAACGATAGGGTGGTTCGATTCGGATCTTTCCGTTATCAAGCGCAATTAACAATTGTTTCATTCATTGACTCATTGTATTGATTGTAGTAGATCTTTCTTTCACACCTTGCAGCAGTGTGTTTAGCAAAAGAATTTTTTCCAAAGCTGGATAGCAGTTTAGCCAGATACCAGATATTCGGCCAACTTCATAACCGGATATTTTGCAAATTGCGGTGCATCTATCTTTCACACCTTGCATTAGTGGGTAATGGGAAAGATTTTTTTCTGAAGCTGGATAGCAGTTTAGCCGGATACTCGGCCAACCTCATAGCTGGATATTCAGCCGCCGAATATCCGGCAGAACTTTGCCATTTGGTGCATCGCAAGAAGCACGTTTGCGTTGGCGGCGCGCAAACGATAGGGTGGTCCAATTCGGAACTTTCCGTTGATAAACGAAGTTAATAATTATTTCATTAATTGATTTATTGTATTGATTGGAGTGCATCTATCTTTTAGCACCTTGCAGCATTGTTTGAAGCGAAAGATGTTTTTCTGAAGCTGGCCTTATTTACGAACACAATCGAAACCGCTTGCCAGCTCTTGATGCAGATTAATGAGTATTCATTCACTGTAATTTGCCCTTGGTGCAGTATGAGTACTAATTCATTTCTAATTTGTAGAATTATTGTCTGATTACCGATTGTGTTTCTCAAGTGATACTAACTAAAGCAAGTAATTGCTTAAACATTCTTTTAAAGTGCGGTATTTGGCCGGTCAATGCAGCCTACTTGCTGCTCTCTTATTTCTAGAGTTACAGCCGTCCATAGTTTCGAAACATTTCAGCGCCATTTGAATCAGTGCACTTTTGCCAACGTAACACGAGTCGATTGATTCCGTCAGGATTCGATAAAGTCGACGAAGGCCGTTTTTGCCCGGTCCTAATTGGCGAAGGTTCTAACGGTGAGAAAGTTATCGAAGTGCTTGAAAAGATGGTAGTCGGTTGGCAAAAGGTCTAGGGAGTATGGTGTAGAGGAGATGGATGTCGAGCTTACGACTCCAACTGACCTCCATGTAAATTTAGATCAGGAGCGAGAGCTTCTCAAGTCTCCAACTCATGATCCAATAACTGAACCTAAAAAAAAGGTTTGGTGGTGCAACCAGGAAACGGCTGAGTCGTTTCCTCAAGAGCGGGGTACCTTATGAAATCGCCTTGCACCAAATTCTTGAGCGCCGTACGCGGAACCTGTCTCAGGTGGAGGAACAAACCCCCCATGAGCAGGTTAGCAAACGTTTGCGCAAAAGTGATGATTCACCAAAACCAGAGGCGAAAAAGCCCTACACGGGCGTAGCTGACGTGCAAAAACCCTCATATGAGAAGGTTGTCGCGGTTATCAAGATGGGAATCTTGCAGCTTGACTATCCGATTACCTCATTAACGATGAAACAGCAGAGCTTATACTTTGTGCCTGCCCCGCTGGGGACCGAATCAGGTTTTTAGAGTTCGGTAGAGTCGAACTCTTACCATCTGACTTTGGACCTTTTTTTTTCCTTTAGGGTGGAAACTGCTTAGGGCTAGATCCTAGTCTAGGATGGAAACTGCTTAGGGCTAGATCCTAGTCTATCAGACCTAGTACTGGCGGGCGCTAACCTAACCTAATCCCTGCTTCGGAACCATCCAAATGGACATACTCAGAGTAGGGCGGAGACATATGCTATTGAAATTTATTTAGTCCTCTTTCCTACCTTTCCTCCCTCTGGTATTTCCTCTCTTCCAGTTCATTTTGCTTCATAACTTTATTGAAGAAATCGTATACCACTTTCCAGCCCTTTTTGTTGTTTAGCATTTCCTCTACTATATTGTCGGTCTCCCGTTCCAGGAGGCTCCTTTCGCCGCTCCACCTTTCACACACTACTATGGTGTGCTCCACGTTATCTACTCTCCAGTAGATGCAAACTCACTTTGGACCTAACCTAACTTAACCTAGTCGATGAATATTACATCACGCATATCGCAAAATACCGAGGCCATAATCTTTCCAGCCGATTGTTGTGGTTGTGATTCCGGACGGTTGTGATTCAAAACGAATTTGTGGACTTTTTCATGTTTTCTGGTGTTACTGCCTCATTTGGACGTCCACTGCGTTCTGCATCATTGGTGTATCTACGATCATGTTTGAAATTAGCTAACCAACGTTTAATTGTGGATTCTGATGGAGCGGAGTCTTTATAACATTTTTCAAACAATTGCTTTGTCGAGACTGGTGATAGGTGAATTATCAATCAGTCGGAAACAACGTTTACAAATAATAACATTTATTAATTAAACACCAACAAATGAACCAAACAGAAAAATAACAATGTAACTTCGGGGCGAGGAGAATTAAAATTGGGTTAGTTTCCGGCCGAAATCTCAGAACCGAATTAATGCTTGCCGCTAAATATCATGTATTTCGAAATAACTTTCTTACTGACGAAAGGTTAAGTCATAAATTTAGTCAAAAAGGATCAACCACTTATGCCCGAGTTCTTTGTCTAACCCATGAAATATCCATGTTTTTCGGCAATAAACGGTCGTTTCAAGAGACGAGAGCCCTTCAATGATATGCGATGAAAAAAATACAAAAAATGCTGAGTAAAAATTAAAATAAAAGAATTAACATGAAAAACCCAAGCAGATGGATATTTTGTACGACTGCTCGATAATAGAGTTATGAAAAGTTAATTTCCTAACAAGAATTTATAATACAAAAATAAAAGTCAATGAAGAAATGAAATGTTTCTAAACTAAATAGTTGTAGAAAAAACCCTTCAGCTTCGTTTGAACGGTATTTTTTCCCAGTGTAAAATTAAAATAAGAAATTGTTTTTGATCCATTGTTTTGAAAATAACAAAAGTGGTGTCATCTATGTGGCGCCATCTATGTGTTAGGCCCGAAACTGTTCATCCCTGGTAGCAAAAGGCAATTTGGATTGAAAAAAAAATTATTTCAAATGCTGCTGAAATCTCGCTTTCGTTATTTTCAAATTCAAACTTCCAATGTCTAAGGTGTATACTTTGCTTTTCCAAATACTCTGTAATGCTCAAAGTAAATTTGGCACTGGGATACATACTTATGATGCACTGTTTGGAACCTTTGGTGTAGTATTGAATATTACTGGAGTTTTTTCCCAACACCAAATCGTTATTTTTAACACCTCGACACGTGTTTCGATCACNTCAAATATTAACTTTATTAACTTATTTGGTTGTTAATTATAGTAGTATATACCACTTTTAGTTGTTTCAGGGATTTCAAATAATTTTATATAGTAGACAATGGAAGTCCGAACTAGTGAAATTGAAAATGAAATATTGCGAACAATTTATGATGTAGAACACAAATATTCACATGGAAATGATTGCATGCCACCGAATATACTGATAAAGGTTGGTTGGTTCATATGTATCCCCTTGGCATATATAAATGATAAAATTGTATGTGAAGGCATCTCTCCAGGTAATTTTAAAATCTCGAAAATAGTTTCTATTCATAGAAAGGATTTTAAAACTCTATATAATATTCTGACACCAAATCAGTATAGCTTCAGGAGAGGATTTTTATCAGAACTACCAATATATAATGCCACTGAAAATATTGAAAATATCGATAATGTGATTACTTCGGTCTGCTTATATTTTGACATGTCCAAGGCATTTGATCTAGTAGATCATGACATACTGCTTCTAAAACTAGAAAACTATGGTATCAGAGGAGAATGCAATGCTTTAATTACTACCTATATGACAGATCAAACCCAAGCCATCTGGATCAGCGAGAACTGTAAATAATTTAATTCAAGGGAAACTAATAAAAAGAGAGGTCGAATAATGGAAGGTGAATGAAGAGATCATCAATAACCAATACCTTCTTTCAAATATCAACGATATCTGGATGAGTTGGATAGATGGCAACCCTTTTCGACGTTTTACCTTGGGTCAGGATTCCATTAAGTAGAAATGGACCCCGAATCTAACGAAAAAACTACACAACTGTTTGAGTCGGATCTTTATTGCATTGATGGGAGATAATACTCCGAAACTCGATTGGTTTCAGCGTGGTTCTACT